TCTTTGGTTTTGTTTTGTTTTTTGGACTTAAGATATTTTGAGTCCTTGAGAAACCAAGAGCCTCGACTGATAGATGCCTTTCTGTTTTGACGTTGTTCAGCATTTAGTGCCTTTTCCCAAGTAACACCGCCCTCAAGGCTCAGGTTAGGTGAGAAAGGCTAAAGAGTCAGTTCCCCGAACGAAAGCTGAATGGCTGCAGAAAGAGCCCATGAGTCAGCCAGAAGCCTGGGTCGCCTGCTGGTGGGCTGGGTGGCTGAGAGCGTTCCCCCGTCTGCAAGGCAGTCCTCGAATGAGTCCTGGGGAAAGGAAGGGCTTCCCGACAGCCTCCTGCCATGTCCATGGGGCCAGGGCCAAGGTCAGCACTCCTGGAGCCAAGTTGTACAGCCTTTGTTTAACCAGCTCATCATCCTGTTGACTTTCTGAGGTTGCTACAGGCAGGTGTAAGAGCCCCGGGTGTTTCCTACCCCTGTGGTAATCCTCAGACGAGGCTCTTCCTGGAACTGGGGTGGGGGGTTCCTTCAATGCCCAGGGAAGGCAGATGAAAGCTAGTACAGCCTGACCACGAGGGAAAGTTGCCATCTCCTGCTTCCCATAGATTACAGGGCACTTTGCTGCCTAACTTCTCAGACTCCGAGAGAGCTCCATGACTGTGACACACGCACAAGTGCATGTGCAGAATTGATCCCCCACCAACCATCCGTCCCTTCCCCGAGGCAGGAAAACCTTTGTTTCTGGAAAGCAAGCTCAAGTGACCCATAGTTTAAACCCAGCCTCTTTGCTCACTTCCCTTTAACTCTCGGTTTGCACACAATTATAACCCACCCTTTTCTAAGTAATCAAGTCCCAGAGGCTGAGACTGATGGCAATAATTAGTAACAATTAATATTTCCTGAGGGCTTATTTGGAACCAGACACTGTTCTAACCACTTTATATCATCTCATTTAGTCCTCGCAACAATTCTGTAGGATAGAATTGCTCATATCCCCATTTTAAAGATGAGTAAAAAGCCAATCTGCTAACCACCCAGCTCTTTCACTGCATCCGCTCTCCTTAGATTGTTTTACATTTATGTTTAGGTTGTGTGTACCTGCCCCACAAACACCCCAAAGCAGAGTTTGCGTCTGTCTCCACATCCACCGTGCCCCCAGCACAGCCCAAAGTGGAGTCTGGTCCAGCAGAGGGCCTGTAAATATCTGTCCCTCAGGGTCCCACTCTTAGGATGACCTCTTCACGTGTCTCAGGGCTAGAAATACACCCCATGGGGCACCCACTTCTAGCTGATTCTCCCCAAATCCCTGGCCACATGGGACTGGAGTATCAGGGGGAGCCCCCATTTCAAGTAGCCCCTATTCTTTCCTGACCCACGCACGCTTTTTTCATTTGTCTTCCCAGTGCTTACTGCCTGATGGTATTGTCCACAAGGGCTGGAATTTTGTTCACCGTGGTGTCCACATTGCCTGGGCCACAGTGAGCCCTCAATGCATGCGAACAGAAGATATTATAGTTATTATTATTGTGGCACGACAAGATTGTCTGCCCACCCCTAGGGAGCCATGTGCCCCCTCCCTGACCCCACAGGGATCCGGTGGGCACTGTTGCTACCTGCCGACCGAAGGCAGCGTGGCCAAGTCCGCACCAGCTGCAAAGCTCCACACCCACGCCCCCGGCTGCTCACCGCCCCAGGGCCGCAGTGCCTGGCTCCCGGCTCCAGGCCACTCAGCCGGGCAGGGGCGGTGCGTGGGTCTCCTAGCGGGGCCAGGAGCACCTGGGGTCCTTCAGAAATGCAGGTTCTCAGGCCCCACCCCATCCCTACTGAATGCGAGGCTTGGGGCTAGGCCCCCAGGGGATTTATCAATGCGCACTCAGGTTTGAGAACCAGACCCACATCCGCAGTGTCTGGGGATGTTCGTGGCTGTCCCGTCTAGGGGAGCTCCTGGCATCGAGTGGGTGGGGGCCGGGGTGGCTGCTCACCCCCCACAGTATCCAGAATGGCCCTTTATTTCTTAGAGCCATTTTAGGTTCACAACAAAACTGAGCAGAAGGTGCAGGGAATTCCTGCACACCTAGACCCCCATTATCAACAACTCCCCTGGAGCAACATTTGTTACAGGTGACCCACATGAACATGACATTATCACCCAAAGTCCATAGCTGACATTAAAGGTCACCCTTGGCGCTGTGCATTCTCTGGGTTTGGACAAATGCACAACACGTCTCCACCATTACAGTGTCACCCAGAGTAGAGTCACTGCCCTAAAAACCCTCTGTGCTCCACCCGGGCACCCCAGCAACCCTGAGCCTTCGGCCTTCTCCATAGCTCTGCCTGTGCGCATGTGCACCAATGAAGCCGTGCCATTCACACGGGGGCACAGTACTGGCTCTAAGCTGCACCTTCACTTTTTAAAACAGTATCCTGGGTGCATCTGGGAGGGCCCTTCCAGACAAGATTATCATTAGAATTCGTGGACTTAGTAAAGCAGATGCCCCCCACCCCAAAGTGGGTGCACATCACCGTATCTACTGTGGACCTGAGTAAAGAGAAAGGCAGAGGCAGACGCATTTGTCCCTTCTGTCAGAGCACTTGAGCAGGGCCAGCAGTCGCCCCTGCCCTGCGCCTGAGACTCGCCCCATCGCACCCACCCACTCCAACCTGCAGCAGATGGTGGGACTTCTCAGCTGACTGGATTCCTCGTCACAGACGTATCCATGGACCTATGCTTATCGTTTGGGTTCTGTTTCTCTGGACAACCCTCACTAACACAAGCTCCCAGCACGCCCTTTGCTTCTAAGCCCCGTTCCTGGGGTGGCTGGGTTGGGCACAGGGTGGCAGTCTGGCAAGTGGCAGGAAGAAGAGGGGCTGGCTCCTGGGGAGGGCGCTTCCTAGGAAAAGCCCCAGGGCCACTGCCCTGGCTGGCTCCACCCCAGACTCCCCGCCTGCCCCTGTCCCCAGTCATCTGGGTGAGCGGGGCTATTTTAGGATGTCCCCCCATTTCCTTCCTTGCCACGTCGAGCCCACTTCCTGACTGGGTGTCACTCTCTCCCGTCAGGGTGGAGCAAACCAGACCCGCACACTGGGGTGTTTTTCCACCAACCCCGGGGCCCCAGGCCCCATGCTTGGGCCTCCCTATCCTTTCCCCAAGCCAGCAGGGGCAACATAATTTGCAGATCCCAGTTCAAAATAGAAAATACAAGATCCCTTGCTAAAAAATTATTACAGATCTCAAGGCAGCAGCCACAGAGCCGTAAGTCATGGGTGGGGCCCTTCTGAGCTCGGGGCCCTGAGCTGGGGCTGCCTTCTGAGGCTGTCTCCTCTACCTGTGGGCTCACAAGCTTTTCTTTCTTTACTCTATTGTGACAAAATATGCATAACATCAAATTCACCATTTCAACCATTTCTGAGCACACAGCAGGGGGCAGGAAGCACACTCACACGTTGTGCAGCCGTCCCCACCCTCCATCTCCAGAACTTTCTATCTTCCCAAACTGAAGCTCGGCCCCCATGGAACACTCCCTCCGCAGCCCCCGGCCCCACCACCCACTTGCAGTCTCTACGAATGTGGCTTCCCTAGGGACCTCCTGGGAGCGGGATCAGACAGGGTCTGCCCTTCTGTGTCTGGCTTATGTCCCTGAGCACCGTGTCCTCGAGGCCCCTCCATGTCATAGCAGGCGTCAGGGTGTGCTTCCTCATCGAGGCTGAGTGACATCCCCATGTGTGTGGATGGACTGCGTTGATGCACCCATCGGCGCGCCCAGCCTCTGGCAACGGTGAATCCTGCTGCTGTGACCGTTCCCGTACAAGTTACCTGCCTGAGTCCCTGCCTTAGCTTCTTACGGGTACACACGAGAAGCGCAGCCGCTCGCTTTTAACAGCCAGTCTTCTTTCAGCCCTCTAGTTTTGTTTCAGTTTCTGCCTGATCATAACAGTGGGCACCCAGCAAAACCAAAAAAACTTCAGAAGCCACATCAAAGTGTGAAGAAGAGAAAAAAGTCCCCTGTAATCGCACCCTCACACCTCCCGTTCTCACTGGGGCATGTTTTTCTCAGAGGCTGTGCCATGATCGCTTTGTTTCCTAGACGCAGTTGTGGGGACCTTCTCGTTAGAATCCTCAGCTCACAGAATCTTCCCCTCAGGTCGCTGCCCCTGAGTGTGAAATGCCCCCCTGTGCTGGTGTAGTTCTGGCCACAGCCAGAAACAACCTCATGTCCATCAAGACGGGACTGCGTGGTCAGCAGTGGGCCAGCCCTGGGGTTCGGGTGAAAGGACCGCTGATGGCACAAGGCAGAGGACGTGCCCACCGGTGCAGTGTTTGTTGGGTGTTACTGGGTGCTAAAAAAAAAGGTTTTAAAGATGGAAGCATCTTTTCACACCTGTTCACAGGTGCATGGGTTTCTCAGCACAGAAGCAGGAACAACTGGGAATAGTGAGTACCTTGGGATGGGGCTGTGTTTCCTGGGGAACAGGAATGGCAGAGAGATGCATTATGCACAGCCTTTTAGACTGTTTGGATTTTGAATGGTGCAAATATAATTCCTGTGGAAACATAAATAAAAGTAAAATTAAAAAAAAAAAACTTGAAACCACCAGTAGTCTTGTACTGGTCTCTGTGGATAAAATGAGTTCCTGTGGCCAGGATTGTCACCTGGCCCTGGCTGACGAGCTCACTGCACACCTGTGGACAGTACATGGCTGTTGACTCTATATAAAGAGCTCCTGCAGGAGAGCAGAGCAGAGGCTGGAGTGGTGGCAGCGCCGAGGACAGAGGCCCGGAGGACGGCTGTGCGGGACAACTGTGTGGACAGAGGGGCCCAGAGGATGGCTGTGCAGACAGAGGGACCCAGAGGCAGAGACCGCCTTGCTGCCTGCAGACTCTCTCTGAGTGAACGTGATTCTAGTGACTGACCTGCCACCTGGAAATAGACTTGGGCATAACCCTTTCACCCCAAAGAACATTCTGTCAATTTCTTTGGTCACATTGAATCCATAGCAAACTTGCCCATGGCTGAAACCCATTGGCAAGACAATTTCATATTTATTTAGATTTTTAGAAGCTTTCTTCTCTCCTTCCCTTCCTTCTTCCCTTCTCTCTTTCTATCAACATTTATTGAGCATCTACTGAATGCTAAGCCCCAAGCTGAACACTGGGTACACAACAGGGAACGAGCCAGACACAGATGCCTTTCTTCTTGGAGCTCACCAGCCAGACTACTGCTTCTAGAACCTTCCTGGTGAACAGGTTCTCCATCTGGACCTCTAATATGGGAGCCACCACTGCCACATGGCTCTTGAGCACTTGAAATAAGGCCTTTGCAACTAAAGAACTGATTTTTAAGTTTTATTTATTTTTAATCCATTCATTTACAGTTAAATAGCCTCACAGGGCTAATGGCTTCCAAAGTGCACAGTGCACGGCTAGAATTCCGGACTCCAGGTTTGGAAGCGTATTTAAGACCACTGATTCCTAAGTTATTTTGCTAAGTTATTTTGCAGATGTATCGAGAGGCTCAAGTCACGAGGAGAGAAGCATAGAGTCCAGACGGTCTGAGGTCAGTGGTATTCAAAGAGCATGCAGGGAAGCACCCTGCAGCCTTGCAAAGGCTGACCTATGGAGTGGGGAATTATCCTCATGCTGCGGGTGCAGGTCATCATCAGACAGCATGGGGGACAGCTGGGAACACCTGCCTCCTGGGCTCAGTCCGCCTTCCCCCTGTGTCTGCGACTGTGCCCTGGAGTCACACTGATGCGGGTGAAGCTGGGCTTTGGGCTTTCGGGTGCAACCCAGCGCTGGTCCTTCCCAGCCCTGGGGAAGAAGGCCTGGGAGACCCAGCCGGAGGAACGAGGCTGCTGATAGGCCTTTTTCCTGCTCCAAGAAGTCACAAGGAAACTGAGGAAATGGGCAGGAGCCGGGCCTAGTTAAGAACCTAAGCTGATGCTGGGAGTCTTGAGCAGGGCAGCGGAGGAAGAGCAACTCTGGTGCACCCCAGGGCAGCCGTCCCAGGGCTGGAGGAGGTGGCGGCTGAGCCCTGGGCAGGAGTCAGAGAAAAACGGCCGGAAACCACCCCTGGTCAGTCTCTATTTCTGAGCGGGGGGTGGGGGTTGGGAGTCCTGTCCTGGCAGCTGACGGAAGGAATGGGGCCTTGGGGAAGGGCTGGCGCAGCATGCATGGCCTGGGCTTATCTCCTCTGTAAAGGAAGCTGCAGATTAAAGCATGGGTTGGAGACAGCTGGGGCTGCCTGCAGGGGTGGGGGTTTGGAGCTGGGAAAGGCCTTCAGGCGGGGGGAGGTACCATTGGCTACCAAGATTCACTACATTTTAAAGCAATACTTCAAAAACTGGGAGCGATGCCAAAGAATCCATGATGAACAAAATGTCTTTTAAAAGGCAGGATCCGATCCCGCACCCGCATGGCCTCGCCTTGCTCGTCTCACCCTAGTCCGGGACCTGGAACGGAAGAACGAACGACGGCGAGTCCGCGGAGAACCCAGGCTGGACCCCGCGCGGCCCCGCCCACCGCCAAGTCAGCTCCGCCCCCGGCCCAGGCCCCACCTCCGGGCGCGCGCCGCGTCGGCCCCTGCGCACGGTACGTCACATCCGGGGCGGTGGCGGGAGCGAGGCTCACTTCCGCCCGCAAGTAAATGGCAGCAGCGCAGGCGGCCGGGCCGGGGCGCTGAGGGATCCACGGGCGCGCGGGCGGGCGGCCAGGAGCCATGGAGCGCGGCCCCGGGGCCGGGGGGCGCGGGCCGCTGCGGTGAGTGTCGGGCAGGGGCGGCGGTTTGGAGGGCCGGGCCGGGCTGCGAGGCCGGGGCAGCCCGGGCGGACGCCCTCTGATCCCGCACTCCTGGGGCGGCCGCCCTCTGACCCCGCACTCCGGGGGCGGCCGCGGGCCCAGCCGGAGGACTCCGAGGCAGCGGGGACCGCGGGCCGGGGTCCCCCAGCCCGGAGAGCGCTGTCCCCCGTCCTTCCAGACGTCCGACGTGGGGCGGGCGCCCATCCTGCTGGGGACGCGCGGCCCCCGGCCGCCCAGCCAGCCCCCCGAGCCAGCCGCAGCAGCCCGCAGCCCAGTCGTGCTTCCTAAACGCCTCCCAGACGCCTCTGCCTTTTCCCAGGCGTCCTCTGGCCCGCTGGGACACCTGGGCGAGCTTCCCGGCCTCCGCTCCCGTCCGGTCTTCGGTGGCAGCCGGGGAACGGCCCGCAGCCCTTACCCCATGGTGACCGTACCGGACCAGGACTCCTCCAGGGCTCCCCGTTTCCCCCAGGATGAAGTGCATACTCTGCAGCAGGGCTCGCGGGCGGGGCCCGACGCGGCCCCGGGTCCCTCTGGGGACTCCTCTGCTCACCTCCTCCTGCCCGGTGCCCGCCCCAGCCGGGGACCCGCAGTTCCTGGAAGCTGCTGTCATCTCTAGGGTTTTGCCCATGCCCCCTCCTCTGCCCCGTTCCCTGTCACCTGGCCACTCAGTCCGCACCTTCCAGCCAGCTTTCCCACCTTGACCGGCTGGGCGGAAGCGCCCTTTCCGCCGCCCGTATTTAGTACCGCAGTTGCCGGGTCTCCTGGTCCTCCCACCACCACCTGCCCGTTGGGGGCCCGGCGGCGGGGAGCCCAGTGTGTGCTTGTGGGTGGAATCGCTGGAGGTCTGGGTGCCAGGTTTGTTCCCTGTGATTGAAAGTGTGGCGTGCAGTGCCCGGCCTCAGCCCTGGCTCCCAGGGCACGCTAGGTGACACCCATAAATGACACGCCGAAGTCCCAGGTACATATGGCCCCAGAAGAGACTGTCCCCCTCCTTGTCCAACCTCGCTGACTGTAGCGTCCCCTGTCCTGTGTGCCTCTTGTCATTTGCCCGTAGTCCAGCCCGTGTTTATTGAGCAACAGCAGGTAGTAGCCCTGCCCTCAGGGAGTTTTACTTTGGTGGAGGGATGAGGAGATGTGGTTAAACCTGTAAATACCAGCTGCGCTAAGTACTGGGGAGACGGGCCTGGAAGCATGAGAGGGTGGGGGTCTCGGTCCTGTTTGGGAGCCCCCCTGAGGGCACCAGAATGGAGGTCTGAAGGAGGGGAGGGCAGTGGGCAAGCTCCCTCTGGTGAGATTGGGGGGAGGGGGCGCAGAAGGGGACAGTGGACACACTATGGGTGAGGTGGGAGGGGCCGGCTGGGCACAGCCCGTGGAGAGGGGTTTGGTCTCTGTCCTGAAAATAGTAGAGGCTTCTGGGGCAGCCCAGGAGGTGGTGAGGTCAGATTTGTGTGGTGAGGAGGTCCTTTGCTGGAGAATGGCCTGGGGCAGGTGGTGGTGGCCAGGGGGCCTGCAAGGAAGGAGACTCCCTCAGTGGTCCAGGGGACAGGTGTTGTAGGTGTGGTCCAGGTGGTTAGAGAGGTGGTACCTGGTGGGAGGGGAGGAGTCCAGGGCAGGTGGCTCCTGGTTTCTGACTTGGTCGGTGGGGTGTGTCCACCTTGGTGTGCCCTTTCATCGTCAGGGCTGCGGAGGGCCACCCGCCCATCTGAGGCCTTCCTTTCTAACCCATCTGTCACTGTGCTGCCCAAACGCCAGCCCCTCCGAGCCCCTCCGCGCCAGTGGAGAGTTGCCTGTTTGGGCCTGGACCTCTGAGAGTGTGTTGAGGCAGCCTGGGCTTGGCTGACAAGGGGAGAGATCATTGTTTTTGGAGGAGGGCATCCCGGGCCTCCACCCACTCCAGGCCAGGAGCCGCCTTCCCCAGTTGTCAGAGTCAGAAGTGTCCCCAGAGGCTGGCAGGTGTCCCCAAGGGGAAAACTGTCCTGCATCTAAGAACTGGTACGAAAGCTATGGTAGACCCTCTCCTCTGAGAAATGCGTCTTGTAGGGGAGTTCAGGCACTCCTGGGGGCTGTCCACCTTCCCACCTGGGTGCCCCGAATCCTGCACCTGTGGATGTGGCCCATGCCCCTCACAGATCCGGGGGTGTTTCTGGGCCTTAGGCTGCTCTGAGGTGCTCTGAACTGCTTGTCTTTGGTCCAGTTGGTTTCAAACACTGTGACCCCAAAACCGAACCCTCCAAGGTCCTCTGCTGCCACAGCTGAGCCGCCTGTCTCCCTCCCTCCCTCCCTCCAGTCTGCAGCGGGGACATAGTGCTGGGCAGATTTTTCTCAAACTTGTGTGCGCCCCTCTCCCGTTGGCAGCCCCGTATGATCGCGGCCGCTTTAGCGGTTTAGCTGTGGTGTGCTTAACACCGTTTACGGTGTGCCACGGGGAGGAGGGGCTTTTGGGTCTCTGCTCTGAGCTGTCCCCCAAGCCCCCCACTCAGCCCGTACCTCATTTACTCCGCGTGAGGTGAATGTTGTCTGCACTGATGGCTGAGGACATGGAGGCCCAGGGACGGTAAGCTACTTGCCCAAGGTCGCAGACCCCTGTGTTGGCAGAGCTGGGGAGGGGCCTCGGGGCCCTGCGAGCCTCTGCCCCATGCCCCCCGCCGCCTGGCCCCAAGCGCGGAGAGAGCCATGGTCCCAGCCCAATGGGCCTCCTGAGCCCTGGGACATATCCTGCTTTTGTTCCCAGAGACTTTGTTGCATTTCCTCTGCCCGGGCTCCTCTGCCTCCTGCCCGAGGCCTGGCCCCTGCAGGTCGCAGGCTCTTGGGTGCCCCTGGCTGCTGCCTGGCTGCTCTGTGTTGCTGAGGGTGGCAGACGAGTCCTTGAAGGACAGCGTGGAGGTGGGCAGGGGGGAGAGTCTGAGCCCGCCTTGTGGACAGAGGCAGGAGGGGGCAACAGGGCTGCCCCGGGCCCGGAGCAGGGCTGTGTGGGGGGAGCTGGGGTGGGCCAGGGGTCTTACGGCCCGGCACAGCCACTGGACAAGGTGGGGCTGAGAAATAGGCTCAAATGGCCAGAGCTGGTGACTGAACGCAGAGGAAGGGTTGTCAGCCCCGGGTCCCACACAGGTGGTGTCAGGAGGCGCTTTGTCCCTGGGAGGACGGCTGAGCCCGCAGGTCCATGGGGTGGAGGGTGGAGCAGTCTGGGCAAGAGAGGAGGCCTAGGTGGGCCCTGGGCAAGGCCCGGAGGTTCAGGATGAACGGGGTTGGGTCCACTCTGCCCCAGCTGGCCTGCTGTGGGGTCTCCACCTCCCCATCTTCCTGTTCCCCTGCAGGGTCTCCCTCTGCATGACCTGGAGATGGAAGGCCGCGAGGCTCCCGAGGGCTCGGCTTGGACCGCGGTGGGGCTGGGCCGCAGCCTCCTAACGGGACTTTCATCTGGGGTGGTGGCTGGGGGCCGCCCTGCCCCCTGCCCGAGTCGCCGAGCACGCCCACCCCGCCCCTGCCAAGCGAGGCCCGCCCCAGGGCCCGGAGCCCGCCATGAACGGCCTGTCGGTGACCGAGCTGTGCTGCCTCTTCTGCTGCCCTCCCTGCCCCGGCCGCATCGCCGCCAAGCTCGCCTTCTTGCCACCAGAGGCCACCTACTCGCTGGTGCCTGAGCCCGAGTCGGGGCCCTGTGGGACCGGGGCTGCCCCCTCGGGGACCCTGCGGGCTTCTGCTGGCACCCCTGGGCGCTGGAAGCTCCACCTGATGGAGCGCGCGGACTTCCAGTACAGCCAGCGTGAGCTGGACACCATCGAGGTCTTCCTGACCAAGAGTGGCCGCGGCAACCGCATCGCCTGCATGTATGTGCGCTGTGTGCCCAGTGCCAGGTGAGGCTCGTGGACCGAACCCAGGATGGGGAGAAGTGAGGCGGGCAGTGGGGACCCAGGACCCAGGACCCAGGACCCAGGAGGCTCCCGGACCAGAATGCCCTCTGTCCTTGGGGCTCGGATGTTAGCTGGCCGTAGCCCCCAGGGGGCCAGGGCCATGGTGAAATCAGGGTGTGGGTGCCCTGGGGATCCTTTTTGCCAAATGGGTGAATCGGATCCACCAAGAGGAGACCCCGTGGACTGCCCTAGGCCCTTGATGCCAGGTGCTTCTCCATGTGCAGCCCAGCCCTGCAGATGAGGACCTCGAGGCCCAGGGAGGTGGCTCTGCAGGGCCACGTCACCCTTGTGTTGGAGGGGGAGCTGCCTTCAGGGTCTCAGTGCTCACCTGCCCAGGAATGGTCAGTGGGGACCCCGAGGCCTGGCAGCTGGCTCGCCCAGTCTGCCTCCCATTAATAGGAGCCCTCTGGGTGTGGAAGCAGGGCTCTTCCTGGAGCCCCGTGGGAGTGCGGAGGCGGGACCGCCCAGGTGCCTTCACCTTCAGACCAGGTGCGGTTCTGGCTCTCGACCTGAGTCCAAAGGGCAAGCTCGTGCGTTTTGGCCTGGCAGGGCTGAGGCCTGGTGGTGCTGGAGGAAGGAGGCTCTGTGAGTCCACAGGCCAGCATGTAGCCAGGTGGCCTGCTCCTGGCATGAGCTGGGGCCAGGCCTGTTCTGCAGCAGCCTTGCAGGGCAGGGCCTAGAGCTGCGGTCATTTCCATATGGGGAGGGAGCTGCGCCGCTGTGAACAAGGGTGGGCTTTATTCCCCTGTGGGGACCAGCTGACAAGAGCAGGGGTCACAGCCCTGCTGATAGCTGGATGGTTCCTTCTTGAAGGCCCTGAGCAGCAGGTGTTGGTGCCTGCCATCCTTCGGTGGTCAGTGTCCATCCAAAAGTTCATGACCCAGAGGGGGGTGGATGTGATGGTCACTGTGGCTTGCTGCGCTCACCTTGCTGGACCACCCTGTGCTGAGAACATGACCGACAGCCTCAGTGGCCCCTTCTCACAGAGGGGAAGCCCGTGGTGCTGCTGGCTGTCTCCTGCCTCACATCAGACAGCAGGAGGGGGGCTGGGCCACTTACTCTGTGGCACAGGCGGCTTGTCACCCTCAGCATTCCTGTTCCATCCTAGGTGGGGGACACAAATAGTTCCCTTCCCTCTGACCGGTACTTTCGTCCCCCAGGTACACAGTTCTCTTCTCGCACGGCAACGCGGTGGACCTGGGCCAGATGAGCAGCTTCTACATTGGCCTGGGTACACGCATCAGCTGCAACATCTTTTCGTACGACTACTCGGGCTATGGCGTGAGCTCGGGCAAGCCCTCCGAGAAGAACCTGTACGCCGACATCGACGCCGCCTGGCAGGCCCTGCGCACCCGGTGAGCTGATGCTGGGGAGGGGCTGCCTACAGTGTCCCTGCAGAGGTGACCAGATCTGTGAAACTGAGTGGGGTCCCCTGGGGGTGGCCCTGCAGGAGAGGAGCCTGCCAGTGGTCACCTAGGGCAGAGGCTGAGGCCCGACCCGGGTGCCCTCAGCATAGTGGCAGGCATGCTCGGTGTACAGGGAGGCGGTGCGGGCAGTCCCCAAACTCTCTGGGGGTGGTCCTTCTCCCCTCCTGGGAGCCCCTGGCCTGGGCAGGGGAGGCGCTGGGGGCTGGGGCTGGAGGGAGGGGGCTGCGGAGGGCACAGGCCCTGCGGGCTATGTGGGGCCTCTAGAAACACCAGAGCTAAGGGAGCACTTGGGGTTCAGGGTGGGACCAGGCCACTGCATCAGGGTCTGGGGACTAGCACCTGTGGCTGTGGGGCCCGGCCTCCTAGGGGTGGTGGGTAGGGCCTGGATGATGCTGTTGGGCAGCTGGGTGCACAGCACAGCCCTGATGGCCAAGGGCCAAGTCCTCCTCGGACATGAGCCCCCGGCACATACCCCATGCTTGGTCAGAACAGGGCCATGTGGTCCTGGACGTTGGGGCAGATCTAGGGCAGCCCCTAGCCTCACTCGCGCTCAGGCTTTGGGCCCAGCACTGCCCTAGAAGGAAGCCATCCCCACCCTGGCCCTCCTGGAGGCAGCACCCTGCCCGCAGCCTGTCGGAGCTGCCCCATCGGTCCTGCCTGGTCTACCAGCCCCACCCCCTCCCACAGGGACCAAGGGCAGCCTGCCCTGGGGATGTGGGTGCCCTGACACCACCCAGTACCCGGGCCAGTCCTGGGCGGCACGGTGCAGGCACATGCCCGTCCCTGCTGCCGCGGCCCTTCCTGCTATTCGCTGGCAGACTCCGGCCCTGTTGTGGGGTGAGGGCCCTGAGCTCTGCCCTTCCAGCCATGCAGCCTACTGCCGGCTCTGTCCTCCAGAGACCTGGTCCCTCCCTCCCCACGGCTGGGAGACCACGGGTGGGCGGGAGCTCAGGCCTAAGCAGTGACCAGGGGCTGGAGTCCTGGGGGAAGGGCTGCATGTGTCCAGGTGATGGGGACGGGCTGGCGCTCAGCCCAGCAGTAGCCACAACAGCCTGGGGAGCAGGCTGGGGAGGAGCGGCCAGGACGATAGGCACGAGGCCGATGGTATTCTTGTGCCAGAGGCCAGGTGGTAGTTAACCTGGATCGTTGCCAGGACAGGTGTATGTGGCTTCTAGGTGGACAGGGCGGTGCAGTCTGGTTGTCCGTGTGGGCTGCCCAGATGCGGCACCGACCTGCTTTGGCCCTTGGGATCTGGAAGGGTGGTGAGGGGGTTCCTGTGCAGATGGGACGGGTATGTGTGGGCATGGGGCTGGCCACTCTGTAGGGAGGGTGCCAGGAGGAGGTAGCACCCACTCCCCTCACAGCAGCTGCTGTCCCTGCTTACCTGTCTTGTGCTAAGCACCTGATTGGTGGGCTACCCAGGGGCCTCAAACTGGCTGACTTCAGGGGACACTGCTGCCACAAATTCTCATGGCCGAGGGGATAGGGGAGGAGTTCAGGGAGGAAGACAGGCCCCTTCTAGTGCCACCAGGAAGGGCTTTCTTATCGGCAGGGACTGGAAGGCTCTAAGCAGGTTCAGGATGTGGCCCCACTCGTGTGTTGTAGAGGTGGGTCCCCTGGGGAGCAGGAGAGGCCCCAGGGCTGCCCTGTCCCCAGGAGCCACAACTCCACCTTGGGGCCCTCCCCAGGCGACCTTGCCCAGGTCCCGACTCCCTGCTGAGGGACCCCCTCTTTGTTCTGGGGCAAGGGAGGGTCCAGGGGATCCGTGTGGACCCTGGGCTGGATCCTCTCCCTGGAGACTGCCCAGAGAACGGGGACTGCCCCAGGAGGGTGAGTGGTGGGAGGCGGTTGTATGCATTGTCGCCCCCCTGACCCTGTCCCGCCCGCCAGGTACGGCATCAGCCCAGACAGCATCGTCCTGTACGGGCAGAGCATTGGCACAGTGCCCACCGTGGACCTGGCCTCGCGCTATGAGTGCGCCGCCGTGGTACTGCACTCCCCGCTGACCTCGGGCATGCGCGTCGCTTTCCCTGACACCAAGAAGACCTACTGCTTCGATGCATTCCCCAAGTGAGCCCGGGGTGGGGCCGGGCGCGGTGGGGCGCAGCATGGCGGGGCGGCGCTGGCACCTGACCAGCCCTTCTCTCTCCGCAGCATCGAGAAGGTGTCCAAGATCACATCACCGGTGCTCTTCATCCACGGCACGGAGGACGAGGTCATCGACTTCTCGCACGGGCTGGCGCTCTATGAGCGCTGCCCCAAGGCCGTGGAGCCACTGTGGGTAGAGGGCGCGGGGCACAACGACATCGAGCTCTACAGCCAGTACCTGGAGCGCCTACGCCGCTTCATCTCCCAGGAGCTGCCCAGCCAGCGCCCCTAGCCTAGAGGCCCATGCCCAGAATCCGAGCCGCGCCGGGACCTCAGCAATAAGGTGGCTGCCTGGACCTCACCCAGCTGCGGCCCCGGCTCCGGGGGCTGCATGTGGACCCCCCGGGTGCCCCAGGTCTCGTGGCAGCCGTCGGGCAGGGGCTAGGACCTGCCCTGGCCCAGAGGCCGTGGACAATGGACAGGCAACAGAGCTACATTCTTATTTCCTTTTGGAAGCAAAAAGAGGGTAAACGTGAAAAAAAAATTAAAGATTTAAAATTTTAAGCGTGCCTCTCCTTCCTTTCGTGCCTCATGCATGCTCTTCCCAGGACTCAGTGAGTCTAAAGGGGCCGGCTTCGCCCCCAGACTCCCAGGATAGTTGAGCACAGGCGCAGCCATCACTGGCCCTGCAGAAGACCGGTGGGGTTGGGTCCCATCGGGAACGCCTCTTGAGGTTGCTGGTTGCTTGGGTAAGTGATGGAGGGACAACAGCATTCGAACCTGGGACCCTGCCTGCCAGATACACCTGTTAGAGTGCTGGGCCCCCGTCTCCAAGTCACCCGGGGGTGGCTGCGGTGGCAGGGTCCCTCGGCCTGCTCTGTGGCCCCAGCGATGCCCTCTTCTGCTTCCTTGTGGATAAGGGCGCTCGGGCTGCCCTTCCTGTTACGCCCATCCTCACCCCGCTGCACAGAGGCCCCGAGGGGTGTCCCCCGGAAAGGGGGCTGACCCCCGTGTTCCCAACGCGCCTCCGCAGCCCTCCTCGAGGCCTTTGAGCTGTGACCTCTGGCTGGGGTGTCCCTGAAGGTGGGCCACGTCCCCGTCTCCCTGGATCCCAGCCCCTGGAGTGCTCCTTGCGACCTCCAGGGGCAGCACGCTAGGGCGGGGAAAGCCTCGGAGACGGGTGGCCTGCAGTTCACCCCCGGGCGCCAGGCGTTGGCGAGGCCAGCACCGGGAGCTGCTTCCGCCTTCTCCCAGTCCCAGGGCCTTAAGGCTTCGCGGCCCCTTTAAGGGGGCGGATCTTCGGCCTCGGGGCGGGGACGACGCTGAGGGGCCGCAGCCGGGCCGGAAGCGGAAGTGGCTTAGCGCGGGAGCGGCGGCGGCTGCGGAGCGGGAGGCGGCATCCTGGGCGGTAAGTGGCGGCGGCGGGGTCCCTGACCGACTGGCGCGGCCCCGGCCCGGCTTCCACCCCAGCCGCAGGACGGGCTGCCGTGGGGCCGTCCCAGCTGACGCCCAGCGGGAAAAGGGGGCGGCGGGCCGCTCTGCGGGGCTCTGGGCCGGCCCCAGGTCGCCGCCCCGAGCTCGCTGCTCGCCGGAGACTCGGGACCCGGGTGCTCGGAGCTCGCTGCGTCAGGCTGGCGGGGACCCCGCGCTCCCACCCGCCGCCGAGTGCCTCGGTCCCGCGGGCACCTAGTCGGACGTCGAGAGTCACTCCCCATCCAACAGGGCGCTGGAAAGCGAACCCGAACGTGCGGCGCACGCTCGCTGGGCAGAGACCACCGTGGGCCCCGCTGTCCGCTCGCCACCGGGCCTTTGCGCGCAGCCGCTCCGCGCCGGCCTGGGGCGGGCGCCCCCAGCATGCCCGCTGTTTCTTTGCACGTCTGACGTCCTCTCGTTGTCTTGCTACAGTATTCCTTCCCTGACGCCCACCCCGACCTTGACCCCCTTCTCTGTGTTCCCGATGACCTCTGATGCTTAACCTGTCACAATGTGTTGTCTTTTGACCCCATCAGAATGTAAATTCCCTGAGAGCCGGGACTCTGCAGAGCAAGTTCAAAGCAACTGCTTAGAATTGAAGCAAAAAGGGTTTTCCATACGTTGAGTTAAAAATCCAGAGCATGAAAGGGTCTCGGGTAAAAATTCAGGGTCCTGCCCACCCCTGATGGCTGAGCAGCCTGGTTACCCGTTCTCCGGGAAGACATACAGCAGTTTCTTATGTGTCAACAGGGAAAGTCAGTGCACGGACGTCTGATACGTTTATACAAAACTTAGGGCACTTTACGTGTGATCCTTTTACTCCTCGTGGCTTAGAGGGCACTCTGCGTTCCCGCTTGCAGATTTTAATCATCGCGCCGTTTTATTGGTACTGTAATTTATCCTATTTCCCCGTTGGTAGAGATTTAGGTCTTTTCCTGTCTTTGTAACACGTAATGCTAGACTGTTTCTCCTACATTTGTACCCATGTAGGAATATTTCTGTAGGCTGACTTCCTTCGTGCAGAAGTGCTAGGTCAACGGGCTTTCCTACGAAAGTACAGAGGCGGCGGCCAGTACCCCCGTTGCTGACGCTCCATCTTGTACGTAGGTCTGGTAGGTGTGAATAGTGTTTCATTGTGGTTTTGTGTTTCTTACACGGATAATAAAATATCTCAGTTCCTTTTGTGAGATTTATTTTTATGTTGATCATTTCTCCCAGTAATATAATCGTTTTGAAACCGAAAAATCTATTTTTATTATAAACTTGTACATATTTGTATTGCATAATTCTTTGCCCAGTTTTCCTATTGGGTTGTGGGTGTTACTGTTTCCTAAGAACGCTCTACATATTAACGAAATTAGCCCGTTGTGTCAAAAGATTTTTTTTCCTCCAACCTGTCATTTGTCTTTGACTTGGATTGTATTCATAAAAATTTATTTATTTATGCCACACATTTAAAATCATTATTAGTCATTCAGTTTTTTCATTTATGGCTTCAGCATTCTGTGTCATGCTTAGAAATTTCTTCTGTACCAAGATTATCAAATATTTGAGGTTTTCTTCTGGAAATGTAATGGCTTCATTTTAAAATATATATTCACATTTTTGGTCTAATTCTAGGAAGTGCTTCTGGAAGGGACTGAGGTAGGAGCCCAAACTGCTTTTTTCCAAATTGTCCCAAATCTGTTTCCCAAAAAGCCATTCTTTCTTGGACTGAAGTGCTACCTCTGCCACATGCCAAGCCCCCCCACCATTTGTGTGTGGCTCTGTGTCACCCTAGCACCCCAAACTCATCACCTTCCTCACTGAATGTCCATAGGCCTCCATCTCCCTCACTAAGAGAAAACAGTTATCTTAACAATAAATAGTTACCTTAATTGTATTTCGTGCAATACTAACTCCACAAGACACCGTGACAGGAAGGGTTCTGAAAACTCCAGTATTTGGGACTCCCCCACCCCTCTTGGATCTTCACGGGGCAGGGGTCACCCTGGTGGAGGTACGTGAGTGACCCTGCATCTTCAGGGGCCCTCACCCCTGTGGCCCCCGGGTTCCGCTGGGCCGTGGTTTCTCTGTCCACAGGCACTGGCCTCTCCATGTGGGGTGCCTCTGAGGGGCTCAGGCTCAGGCTGTGGTGTCTCTGGATGTGGGGCAACCACACAGGGCAGTGACGGGGGAGGCCAGTGCCACATTCCAGGATGCCCAGCCCCCGGCATGCGGTAATGGCCCGTGGGCCAGGCTGCCTGGGAGAAGGGCCAACTTTTCGTTCTCCATTTTGTGAATTTTCCAGGACATGCGTTCACGCCCGGCAGCACTCTCCTGCGTCCCAGCAGGCACTTGAGCACACGCTGCCAGGCAGCATGTCCAGGGTTCACGGGGTCCTTGGTCCTCCCCGTGACACCGCACCTGACACACCTCAGACCTGGTTCTCTGGGTCGCAGACGCAGGTTCCAGGCCCCGTGTGCTCCATGGCCTAGGCACGCCCGGGTACTGGACAGAGCCTGCCCGGGGCGTGTGGTTGTACCAACCAGGCATGGCTCGTGGTCTGACACGCGCCTGCCCCAGCCGGGCATGCGCCTCCCCTGAGGGTCAGGTCTGGGACAGCGTGGATGCCACCAGCGCCAGGGCTCCTGTGCTGGGGGCCCGATCACCATGGGGCCCAGACTGGGCCTCTGCAGGGTTCCCAGCACCCAAGGGCCGGCGTGTGCATCCTCCCCTCCCCCTGGGCGACCCTGCTTCACTGCCTCCTCCCGTAAGACTGAGCTGGAGAGACCCACCCGCTGGCCCTGCCCATCTCTGCGTGACCTGTGGGTCCCCAGAGGTTCCTGCAGAGGATGGGGGTTCTGTCCCCTGTGGTAGCGGCGGCCGTGTGAGGAGCCATCACCCGGGAGGGCTGGATCTGAGGTGGGGCCTCAGGTGGGGATCCCTCAGGTCCCCAAGCACCCTGACCTAGTGTAGGTGCCCCGCTGGGTGGGTGCAAGACCCACCTGCCAGCTGTGGGGTTTGATCACACTGGGGCACTTGGCCTGGCATCAGGGGTTCCCCTTCTCTACATTTTGGAGCTCCTGCCATGTGCCAAGTCGATCTTCATGACAGCCCTGGGTCACCGTCCCCACTACAGCTCTTCGTGGGGAACCAGCCCAGGCAAGGCCCCCCACGCCAGCAAGGCAGCCCTGGGACCTCCACCAGGCTCAGGCCCCAGGTTCCTGTGGTGCTCCCACTCCTGACACAGCCCTGGCCCACTGCATAGGGAGCTCTGTGCCATCAGAGCCTAGCACCGGGCAGGGCACAGATGGGGCTACGTGGGTGTCCACGTGCAGGGAGACTCCAAGAGACGGGGCCTGGCTGCAGCCCTGGGCAGAGCTGAGCAGGGCACCTGGCAGAGGAGCATGGGCCTGCCAGAGGTGGCTTGGAGGCCAGGCCACGGGTGTCCAGCTGATAAAACCCCTTTTGTGACTGGCCATCTGTGGGCCTCTATTCCAAGGGTCCCAGGCCAGCTGGGGAGTGCAAGAAGAAGGCACTCTGGGGATGGCATTCCCAGGGGCAAAGGGGCGAGAGAACACCTAGTTAGGGCAAACTGCTCCACCTGCCTCCTAGAGAAGAGATGGGCTCTGGACTCTCCCCAGCAGCTTCAGCCAGGGGGCTGCCACTTCCTGTGCAGTGCACTAGTGGTGGCCTTGGTGACCTCCAAGTGGAGGGTACAGCCATGTACCTACAGTCCGGCGAGGCCTGGCCTGGGGCCAACTGTGCTGGGCTGAGCCTGTGTCCCCTGTCCCACTCTGAGCTCTCAGCCACTCAACCTGTATGTGACTGACCCCCTGGACCACTGTAAATGGCTAACGTTGCATCCCAGAGGGAACAGGAGTGGATTAAAAAAATGCTCTTATCACCACAGTATAACATCCTGCCGGAACATGGGCTCCATGGGGGGCGGGGGCTTTGTAGTTTGCTTGAGAGCAGAGGTCAGGGGTTGCACAAGCAAATGCCCGGTGCTAGGCAGGTGGCACAAATGGGCAATGTGCTACCTGGAATAATTTGGGGTTCAGAGAAATTGCGGACACAGGACTCTTTGTCCATAGTCCTCGTGTCAGTATGTCAAAACCAGGAAGCTCACTTGTTCTCGCTGACCACACTCCCCTCTCCTGCATTTTCCCACCGTCCTGCCCTGCACAGGACCCCACTCAGTAGGTGTCTTTACTCTGTTAAAACCTGTGACAGTATTCCGTCTTTCCTTATTTTTCATGACCTTGACAGTTGTGGGTACTGGTCAGATATTTTGTGAAAGTCACTAATCTGGGTTTGCCTGAAGTTTTCTTATGACCAGATGGGTTGTGGGTTTTGAGTTGTGAGTTCAGATGCCCGTCTCATCACATCCCCATAGGACATCGCCCTGAGGTTGGCCTTGACCACCTGGGTAAGGAGAGGTTGGCTGCGCTTCTACTCCTGTTTCCCCGCAGTGACCTTTGGAAGCAAGTCCCTGAGTCTGGCCCGCACTAAAGTCGGGGAGATATAATTTTTCATACTGAAAAGCACAAAAAATAAAGGCTGGATGGCCCATAATTGCTGTGCTTAGATACTGTTGACCTTTACAGAAAAATAAATGCGTATTGTTAAAAAAAAAGTCAAATTGTACAAAAAGTACTATTTAAACATTTAAAAAGTAAAGGCTTCATTGTCTTGAAAAAAGGCCAATCCAGCGTGTACATACACCACACACACTCAAGTGCACAAGTACATGGACAGCCCAGGTTGCTTCACCTGTGAAATGGAGTGCCAGCTCCTGAAAGGTCACAGTGAGGACCATGTGACAAAACAAGGCAGAGGTGACCGTGGTCAGTGGGGCAGGTGTCTGTGGGTTACATGCATGCTGGTCACCCAGGCAACCCGGGGTGTGAAGCATGGTCCTGTGTATAGGCCCCTGCCTGTGGAGCAGCTGGCATGGCCCACAGGTGAGACCTTGATTATGGCTGGCATAGCTGTGTACCTGAGGCTCACAATGTGTTGCCTGGGGCCACTCGGCCTGCCAGGCACAACAGGTCAGCAGCCCCGACCCCTGCCTTGTCACATTCCCCCTGCTTCAGCCTGTGGGAAGACGACGTCACTCAGCCACTGCCCCGTGTCCCTGCAGCTGCCCAGAGCACCTGCTGGGGGTTCCTCCAACTTCAGGCTCCAGGAGGAGCTGCCTCCGGCTGCTGCCCCTCCACTTTCTCCACCAGTGCCAGGATGTGACTCCCAGCTGCTGGGTGCTAGACTGTGAGTCCCGTGGGCAAGCTCTTCGGGGATCTCTGGGCCCAATAAACAGTAGAACCAAAACATGGGTCCAGGCCTTTCTTGTCCCGCTGCTTGCCAGCTTTGGTAGGTGTGACCTGGGGGCCGCGGGAGAGGGACAGGGTTTCCCGCCTCTTCTGAACTGGCAGAGGTCAGCATCTGCAGGTGGGGGGCGGTGTCAGGTGCCCGCAGGCCGAGATGGTGGGGCCTTCGCACATGGTTCACCTAGATCTTCAAAGACACGGGCCCACGCTGGCGGGAATGCTGACCACCAACACCCACCAAGTGACCACTTGAATAGTGGTTGTTCAGCGTGGGCTGTTCTGCAAGGGGAGCCGGTTGGGGCTGCACTTCACCTCAGCACCCTGAAGCATATGTGTGTGTGTGTGTGGCTGGGTGGCTGGGTCCCTAGAGGGGCTGCCACAAAGCTAACAGCACCGAAGACGGTGGGGCCTAGACGACCAGGAGACCCAGGGGACAGTGGCCAGGTGGAGGCAGAGAGCTCAAGCCGGGTCAGGACAGTTAGCTGGTTGCAGGTGGGAAGGGGGATAGGGACCCGGAATGGGACCGGGGACGGGGTCATGGCCGCTGCCTGCACACAGCTCCTGGGAGGTCACTGAGCACCCGAAGCAGCTCCACCCCTGGAAGCCGCTAGGGCCGCTTACCGCCCCCGAGACCGGCCAACGGCAGGGGCGGGGGCGTGGTCCCAACCAAGGGGGTCACCCCGTGGCCACATTCCGCGCGCCCGTCGCCTTGGGCCTGTAGTCAGCACTGTTGAACAAGACGGCCGGGGCGTCCTCAGGGCTTCGACTCGCCCCACTGCCCGGATCCGAGTCCCAAAGAGGCGCCGGGGAAGGCCCGGGATGCCTCTGCCTCGCCGACGCTCTCCGAGCCGAGCCCTTTGCGATCCTTCCTGGCT